ATTATTGCTATTTTCAAATAAGTTCTTAAACGTATTTTTCTTAAAACATAGAACAATAACTAAATAAGTAAAGCAAACAATTATCTCTTCTAGTTACGACCTTTTTACTTGGTTGCTGCTTGACGTAGTTTGCTAAGCCTTTAAAAAAATTGCACGTGGAGGATAAGAAACAAAATATTTTTTAAGGTTTTATATATATACATTTGAATAACTAAAAAATCATATAGAATTCCACTATAATTTATAAAGCTTAGTAACTAAGGTGTATTTTAGTCTAAAAAAATATGAAGTTTCGAGCAGACTAAAGACACACTCTACCTCATTGAAAAATTGGTTCAAAAGAAAGAAATTGCACCAAGTCTGTTAAAATGGCTGAGAAAGCCACTAGGGGACATTCTGAGTTTCCAATTGGTTATTCATGTCGTATATAGAAGTAAGTGTATATGAGGGAGCGTTTCCAAAAATGGAAAGAGGTGGACAGGGTGCCAGTGTGTTTCATTTATTACATGAGCAATACCTTAGCAAATTGAAAAGAGGTTCTTATTTTATATTCTAGCTTGTCAATATCGGTAATTTGAGTTTCTAATTCGTTCAAAACTATAGTATTTTGACTTCACAAACATCTAATTTGAGCTAATACTGCATTCCGCATACCACATGACACACAAAAATCAATGTTTATCTGTGTTTTTTTTAATATTTGCTTTTAAATTAAGAAGTTCAGTAATATATAGTACTAAAATTTGAATTACAATCTACAGTTTGATTCCAAAGTTATTGACATAAATTAATGAAATAGCAGTTCAATAAAATTTTGAATGCGAGTCAACAAACAAGATGACATGGCCTTTCACCCGAGCCCCGTCTCGAAAGGGTTACTTCAGAAGAATGATTATTTTATACAAAGTGTACCCAAGTTGACAATAGACTTCAGATACATCTAACTTTTATAAAACTAATTAGGCCTGATAAAGTAAAAAGTTCTTTATTAAAGATTTTATTGAATAGAAAGGTTGAAGTTTTTCAGTAAAATTCTTAATAAAAATACTTTTAATCATACTTAGATTATAGACAAAATTGCAGAAGAGCTTAAAACTTATGATTCTTTAAGTACATTGAGTAATTTGAAGTACGGTCGAAACTCTACAAGGCAACCACCCTTGGGGGGTCAAAATGTTACATTCCAGCATTCCTGAGGAATTTCATCTTTTAAGTTGGCTTTCCCAATCAGGAATGCATGGTCCATCTGTATTACTTTAGTTATGACCAATGAAAGTGAACATATTGCATGGATTAAATAAAATTCAGGAAGGAATGTAATCTTCCTGAGGCCTTTCCTTTGATGAATGTAATTTTTTTTCATTATTTCTATCCCTGTCTCTTTTGAGAGATGGTTTAATTGCAGAAACTAAAAACTGATCACTTCCATCTTCCTTCGTCGGCACCACTTACATGTACGTTTCTTTTCATCTCACATTTCCACTAAGCCATCTTTTTAGAGCCCCTTTTTTTATATACTCTCTGCATACGTGTATTATGAATAAATACTGCAGTGCGTTTTTATTCTTATAAATCTTTACTCTGTTTTTGATTTGTATGTGTAAATTATTGAAAGGCGTGCTTAAACATATACAGTGCACTAAAGTTAAAGAAACTTGTTCTTACATTAGAGGTATACATGTTCATATAAATGCAAAGACATTTTAAATCATAGAAACATGCATTTAAGAAATTCCAGGGCATTTCAATTCAATTTAACCCCTTTACCATGTAATTAGCTTTCATAGACGGTCCCCAATCAATGTCATTTCTCAAAAAAAAGAAACATCATAAATTAGCAATATATTTTGCTGTATTATGCATTATGATATATAAGATGCCAACATTGCATGTCTTGACATTATGGGGTCAATAACTTGCCTAAATTATGGTAAAAACACACAGAAAATATGACATTCAGCTGATATCTATGTGCAAAGGTGGCATGGGTGCCTCACATTGTTTGCCGGCTGGGGCCAGAGCTGAGGGGTTGTTTATACTTGTGTTTCCTGCTCACTCTCCCAAATGTCTGCACACCCGGGATCTGGCAGTCGATCTTCTGTTGATTTTAGTTGCTTTCTGTGGTGAAATGGTTAAGGTAGTAGATTATAACAGTTGAAAAGTTTAGTTTCGGTTTTGACAGAACCTATGGTCTCTTGCAAAGTTCCTTCAGTGTTTGCCAGTAATAGTAGCTTGTACACTGGTAAAGTAGTGATAGCTTAACAGAACAAAAAATGTTAATAAATTTCACAGACCTCCTTGTATACTTACCACGATCTATTGAAACAGGAACTTTAAACAAACGGTGATTCTACAACCCTTCGTTCTGCTTATAGGCTGTCTCAGGTGTTAGCTCTAAGTCAGTAAATCAGCCAATAAAAAAGGTGTTCATGATATTTGTTTTGTACAAAAAAATGATGGAAAGACACCCCAAGGAAGTAATCAGCCAATCGTAAAAGGGGTAATGAATGGAGCATGATAGATAAAGAGTAATTCCCCAAGACTATGTATTGGTAGTCATATGGGGAGGTGGTCAGCCTGCAGAACAAAATTTGTTAAAGAAAAAGTGGAGACGAAGAACAGGACTAAATAGTACTGATCTTTATCGGAGTTGCCCATCTTTAACAGGCAGTCGATTGTAGAGGTATAATTAGATCATTAAATATACTAAAATTTTGTTTTGAGCTTTGTAAGTGCCTGCAAAAATCTCAAATATTACTTTGTCTACCAATATGTTTGCAGTTTCCAGTATTATTAAGTTAAAAAAAATTATATATTGTGTGATTTATTATATCTTTCTGCATTTATATAGAACATTTTACTACCTAATGCATTGTAGTAAAAAAGATTTTGAAATAGCTTCGCTTCAATTTTTTCTTTCTAGGAAGGGGCCTAAAATTGTTAATGTTTTAATATGCAGGTTTTTAAAAAAAAAACTCTGTTCTTGCTTTAAAATGTACATTTAAGAAGTGAAAATTTTACTAGCTGTTAAAAATATTGAAATACTTTCATATGTGACATTTATAACATTGCAAAAAAAAAAGAAAGAAAGAAAAAATTAGGTGATGCTTGCCAGATTTGTGCTTGGTGGAAATTAAACTTGTAATTATAGAACTAACTCACACTAAAGACAACATTTTGATTATAAAACATTTTTAGAAGACTGCACATATAGCTTGATCTTTTAGTGTAAAGTTGTACAACATTTATTTAATCATAGTTACAAATATCAAATAAAGATAGGTCTATGGAACTTGTGGTAAATTGTTTTGCTGGGTGCTAAGTAGACATCTTGAATGAAATGTATAATAATCTTAATATGTAGAAGCAGTCACACTAAGAATTAACAGTGAGAAATCCTAAAAATTAGCTCCTTAGCAAAAAAATGCTTGTTCTCTACTGTGTTTGTGGCTATTAAAGGAGATAAAGATTTAGGTTGATTACTTTTTTTAGTGTGTTTTAAGCTTTATAAATATTAACCAAAATTGTTCAGAGATTGTTATAAGCTATATCTGTTTTTAAAAAAACTTGCTACATAGTTATGTTTACTTATTCACAGTGCAGCCACTTTAATAACACAAGTTTAAAACTTTTATTTTGTTATAGCTAACTAGCAAATACTATACAGACAAGATTCTGAATTCATATTGCATTCTATTTCTTTAGGTATCAAAATGTTATTTTCTATTATTAAAGTCTAAGTATGTATAACCACATCTTTAACATTCCAGGTGTAATTCTAAGGGATTCCCATGGAGTTGCCCAAGTGAGGTGGGTCACTGGAAACAAGATCCTGCGGATTCTGAAGGCTAAAGGCTTGGCTCCAGACTACCCTGAGGATTTGTACTACTTGATTAAAAAGGCTGTTGCTATACGTAAGCATTTGGAGAGGAACAGGAAGGTGAGTGCCATTCTTAAAGATGTGTATTTCTTCAAGATTCTAGGTTACAAAACTTAATGGTTTACTCAGTTACTTTTCACCATTTGTAAGTTTGTACCTGGTTTTTGAATTTGAAGGATTATTTTTTATTTTTTTTTAACTGTAAACACTTTTTTGCAGTAATGTTAGCTGTGTAATTAAAGCTTTTAATTTTGTCACAAATATAACACAATGTATTCAATGATATGGGTGAAATTAGAGAACTTGAACTCGCAAAGAAAGTACTGAGTGATGATTGTTTATATTTTATTTAAGATAAAACTATATGATGTTTCATTACAGTGACTGTAATGAAACTGAAATAGTTAAAAATTATCAGTGCTTTACAACATGACTGATCTTAATTTTATGAATGACAAAATGTTTTATTTTTAACTGTAGTTTTAATTATTATATTGTTTTGTTCATATATAATTTAGGACAAAGATTCCAAATTCAGACTGATTTTGGTTGAAAGTCGAATTCATAGACTAGCTCGTTACTACAAAAGCAAGAGAATCCTTCCTCCCAACTGGAAGTAGTAAGTACAACATTTTTGATTTACTTTTATAAAGTGGTATAAAACAAAGAAACCAAACACTGTTCAGCACACATTTGAACATGGTTTATTCCCTAATACTCTACATAAGCAGTCAGCTGTTGATGGTGCTTCTCTACCCATGTTTATAGAACTTTGTACAGTTTTAGGTTTCAACAAATGTCACTTGGATTGTCTTCTGGTATTTTCTTACTGTTTGTTGTGCACATAATACTTTTTTTCATCAGTTATGGGTGTGTAAATATATACACACACACACACACCACTTTTAGTTTAAATTCCCTTTCAAAAAACTGTTATTTGAAAAGATATCTGAATGCCAGCTGTTTAGAATGATTATTTTTTTCTTTTTCAGTGAATCATCTACTGCATCAGCTATGGTGGCTTAAAATAAACATATGATGTGTATACTTCTCAAAGTCAAATAAAAAAATATTCTGGCCGATTTATGTTCCTTAATGAACACTTAAAAGTTAAACTGAGAAAACTGGCAAGTTTAAAATATTTAGAGCTATTTTTTCAGTAATTATATTATAATGAATGTAGTAGTTCTGATTTTTTAAATTTTTGTTTCAATGGTAGACTGCATCTCCTAAAAAAAAACGAAGATGTGCCTTATATATCAGTCAAACTAACATAAAACTTATTGTTTAGTTACATATATTCATTGTAAACATATGATACCCTGGCTGCTACTTTAAGGCTTTGGTATGCTATAATTACAACGTGACGTTAAGCTTTCATTTCTTTTTTTTACCTACTCAAAATATTTCCAAGAATAAAAAAACACACCTTTTATCTCTGTTGTGAGACCATTTATCAGCATTATCACAAAAACCCAGATAATTATCAAACAATTTTTTTTAGAAAAACTATTTTACCTCTGTATGGATTTGACCAACCTCATAACCACCATAAATAGATCAGGAAATAGATATAAATTACACTTCTTTTCATTTTAGGATGACTACAAATTTTATAACAAAATCACAAATGTTTATTTTAAATAGCTTAAATGTAATAACATTATACATATTAATTATTTTTGTTTTATTGACCTCTCAGCTGTGTCTGACTAGCATTACAGAATACCATCAAATTTTAGTTATAATACTCTACTTAAGTATGTATACGTATATATATATATATATATATATATATGTATGTATTATTATTATTTACAAATAAATCTTTCAATATTTTTTTAAAACTTGGAACAATAAATAAAGAAATCTAGAACACGATCTATTCACAAAGTTTGTACTCGCTACTTGTCATAATTTGCTAAGCCTTGTCAAATTTTGCACATGGAGGATGTAAAACAAAATAATTTTTTTAGATTTTATATATGCATTT